GTTGTCTGTAGAGGTCATCCTTCTCCTCTTGTTCCGCGTCGTTTTTAGCATTGTGAGCAATGTCGGATGATTGTAACACTGCTTCCTCCATTCTCAGTTGAATCTTGCTGTCATGATCCTGTAGGATGAAATTGGTTCTCACTGACTTAGGTCTCTGGCTACAACTGGTGACATCATGATAGCCACTCACTGCCTCAGTGTGCTCGTGTTTGTCGTCTGCGGGGATGACCAGACCGGAGTAGATTACTGACTCTCCAGTTGACAATTTTGACAATCCGCATCCATTCCATTTCTTTTTCAGATTCCCAGCACTTCTATGTCACATCTTCTCATTCCTTCAGCCATGTGGACAGCCTTCCCAGCCGGCTTCGTACATTGTACGAGCATTCCACGTCTTCAGTCTTATTCTTGCTTTCATCGAGAGAGAGAGAATATACATCGGCTGGCTGGTTTTTCGAAGGCGTTCACGGGCCCAGTGTGTTATTTCCCCTCTCCAATTCCAGCGAAGAACAAGTTTGCCTTTGTATTTTTAATGTATTTGTTATGCGTAGAAATCTATGTAGCTATTTGATTGGTTTTGTGATGTAAGTGTGCTAGCCCCACGCCCAAAACTCCCTCTTTATCCGGGCTTCGGAACGGCTAGAAAACTAGCGAGGTAATAAACCAGGCATGGTTGTCAGTATCCCAATAGAAGTCCTTAAAGTGTTGATACTAAGACGTACGATGAACGTACATTTTAAATTTCATAGTGAACTCTACTCACAAGTGGATGAGGTGTCACTTGGCTCCCCGCTGGGTGCTATTTTAACTAAAGAATGGTGCTTTAGACGATCTTAGTGATGATGATTAGGCTCTCAGTGATAGCTCAGCTAAGTGAGGTATATGCAGTCATCAAATTCACATTTGAGGAAGAATTCCAATGGAAAATCGGCGTCTTGGATGGTCTGACAAGAAGATCAGATGGTAACATAGAAAGAAATTTACTTAGGAAAACTACATGCACATTACAATATACACATTTCTATAGCTTTGTCCTTCTTCAGTACAGAAGAACTTTGGTAAGAACACTCAGCTAACGGGTTAGACCTATAGATGCGTTACATGTTATTGGAGATGCAATTAAGACTCTATGTGACACCATAACTAAAAACAGCTGTTCAGGAAAGTCCATAAGGAAAGGCATTTTCACGAAGGTTGAATAGGAATTTTCTGTATCTGTAAACAAGAGATCCTTCTATATGAGAGTGGAATTTAAGGTTGCCATACCAAGTGAAGAAAGAATCAACAAGTTGAGAAAATCAATTTAAAAAGCTCCTAATGCTGGTAAAATGAGGCTCATATTCTCGATACAGCTGGTTGTGTTTTTGAAGCATAATGACCTGTTCTTGTATCTACCACCAGTTCATCTGATTCTTTGGAACTGTGGTGAGTGCTACTTATAATCCTATATAAGTAGTATATCAGAAACGAATTCAGAAAAGTAACAATATGTTTGGCACACTGGAAAGAGCAATCAAAGAAGAGAACCATGAGCAGAATGTTGCCATATGATGCAGAATCCAAGAAGCTATCGAATGTGACGATATTAGACCAATTCGTCAAGGATGTGGTAAATGATGTGCAAATGGCAGGTTGAGAATATGGCATACCAAATTTAGCTATGTACCATACGTTTCACCAAATAAACATTCCTTTCAGCCTCCTCGGACTTTTCTTCTTTACAGAACTACTTAGATTGGCCACTGTTCTAAGCACTTGATTCCTCGCATACAGAACACCTACAAGTATGCCTAAACAAAAGTATGGTAAAAGTTGTTGACATTCCGATACTAGATAACCTGGTCCACAAAGCCGGCATTGATAGATCTTCCTCCATCATTTATCGTGTAGCAGACGAATCGCCGACGGCGCCTAGATAACAGATACTGCAAACTTCAGAAGCCATTGCAATTCACTCAAAACAACGGGAGCTCTGTGTACAAAAAAACAGTTCTAGCCACTATTACCACCCTGGTCTGCAGTGGAACATGTAAATTCATGAATTCCGTATTATTTTTCCTATTTATTATTGTCGTCTCCTTTAGTTCCTAGAGGAAGAAAGGGTTTCTTCGATCAGGTGCACTCAGGAGTGCAGGTTTTTCAGTGGGGAAGCCTCACTGAGGAAACCTGTGTTAGAGGAGGAACATTGGAACTAACTTTCCGCATGTGATGTCCAAGGAGATGTGTATAACTGTTCTAGGGAGAAGGAAGAAGAGACACAAGACAAGGAATGGCTGCCAACGGACACCTACCTGGAAGCTGATAGAAGAGAGGAGAGGAGAGGAGGATGATGAAAGAGAAGATGACTCAGTGTAAAGATGGACAAGAGAAGAGAATGAGTGACTGAGTTCACAGCAATGTACACTGCACCGAATAAGGAAAGAAGTGAAGAGGAGTGCTAGGAGAGACAAAAGACACACACAAAAGACGACACACTGGCTGTCAACTGAAGCAGAACAGGCAGCCGCAGGTAGAACAGACCTCAGAACACTATATCAGATAACCAGGCTGCTCGCTATCCGGGAAGAGATCAACCCAGATGATGAAATCAATAAAAGATGCTCAAGGGAACCTTACTACCAAGGGGGAGAAACAAATAGAACAATGGGCTGATCACTTCAAAGGACTTTTGAATCGACTATCACCCGCGACTCACCCAGAAATACCACCACCACCATCAACAACAACAAGCACAGAACTGCCTCCCAGTGGACACCAATCCTCCAACGAACGAAAGCAGAAATCCTGAATGCGATCAAGTTACTGAACGTTGATCGGGAAGGCAGCAGGTCCAGACGGAATCATCACTCCACCCCTGATGCATTGGAAACGGACTCAGAGACTGCAGCAGATGTGTTCACTCCATTGTTACTGAGTGTTTCGAAGTGAAGGAAGGTACGTACTGATTGGAATAAATGCTATCTACCTAATCAGACTACCAAAGAAATGTGACTTACGCCTCACTCTGTAAGAACTGGCGTGGAATAATGCTCTTGTCCACCCACGACAAGTAAAATGTTAAGTTGCATTAGCCTAGAGAGAATGAGAGATGCACTGGATGCAGAACTCCGCCATCCGCCCGGATCAAGCTGACTGGATTCAGGAAAGGCAAATCATGTGCTGATCAAAGTGTATATCTACACATCATCATCACAGAACAAATCGTAGAATGGCAGTCAAACCTCTCTCTACTTCAACTTCATCGACACCGAAAAGGCCTTCACCAGACAGCGTTGACCGAGAAGTGATCCGGAATCTGCTTCAAAGGAATAAGACCAGGCTGCCTGTCTATTATCACCAACAATGTTATTCTTGATTCTGGTGGACTGGATTATACGTGAGACTGTGAGTGTGGAGTGAGAGGACAGGAGTACGCTGGACGACCGATAAGAAGACTGTAGAAGATCTGGATTTCGTGCGTGGATGATTTGTGCTTAATGTCACACAAACTCGAAGAATTTCAGGCAGGTGAAAACGAACAAAGTGGCTGGCAGGGAAGACAGGAGGTCTTGGGAAGATAGAGCCGATGGAGGTAATGATAGTCAACCAACCAAGAACAGCAACAACAACCAGCATCAATCACCATCAACTGGAGAGATTTGACAGAGGTCGCTTCCTCCATTTATGTAAGAAGCATTGTTTCATCCACAGGAACTCGGAACTGGTTAGAATGTTAAATGCATCCAACCAGCCAGAATCGGCCTAGTGATGTGAACCTTCATATATATTTGAAATTAGTGTTATAATCTGCTGCGCATCGCAGGATAAAGAACAGGATTCGGACTTTTAGCACAGATATCGTTTTAGTTCTTGCATTCGATTCAGACTCTTGGCAGGCGTGTCACCAGAATTATTTCCAACTGGTTGGAGGCTTTTATCACACCCTGCCTTTTCCTGCTTCTTCCTGAAGATGAGATTGCCGGTCGAAAAGAATTACTATCAAAATACTCCGGGAACAAACGAAAGAGGTACCTATTCCTGAACAATATGTGGTAGAACATGAAGATGAATTGGGCATGCATTGTGGATGCCGTCGAATGACATGGCGCACAATGCCTGCCAACGATCCGATGGAATCCAAATGTGAAGCGACGAGTGGCTCATCTATTAGGAGATGACATGGAGGAGAACGTGTGAGGATGATGTGCAATCGTGGCCCGAGCTGAAGATGATGTCAATAAGCAGAACGAAGTGGAGATGTATTGTTGAATCCCTATGTTTCACTCGGAACCCCAGGGAACAATAATAACAACAGTAATATATCTAAGCCAAGTATAGCTTGTTTTCATCTTGTCTTGTTCGTGGTATCAGTACAGTGTGTATCTAACGCTTAAGCACTGGGGTTGAGCGATTCGTCAGATGAGCTGTTACACACTCTCTTTAAGGGTTTCTGACTTCTATGACCATCGTCCCACTATCTGCACCAACCAACACCTGTTGTAGTATCTCATGAGTGCTGCTTTAAGCATCAATCAGGCAGAGAATTATAGACAAATCACACCGAGGTAGCAAGACTCCCGAAGTTCAGTCAGTAGTCAGAGATATTTGATAAAATCACCACTCCACAGAGATGTGTGTGCACCCATTGTCTATCTACATCTCTATTCCTTCACATTTCACTATCCTAGTTGTCTTGTTCGGCTTCCTTTTTATAGCGTTATACAACTTCTAACAACTTCGTCTTTCCATGTTTTTTCTTCTCAACTCCTATCTCTTATGGTTTTGCTGGAGCTTTTGTTTTTGTAGACCCTCAAACAGGTGGATATTCCGCCTGTCATATCTGTGTCTATCTGACATGACTTCTCAACCACATCAACTACTAGTCATGTTTATTTTAATAAACATTTGTATACAAGAACTTTTTACACTGTATAAATCCAGTCGTTTTCCCTTCAGCTTTTTTTTATATATCTGAATACAATTTACCAAGTTCAGTGTTTGTTTTCTCTTCTTTTTTCAGTTCACAGTCGCTGATTTGTGAACAGATTTCGCATTTCTTTCAGTGTCCGGTTAACACCTTCTGAGTGCTTGAATTTATGCGTTTTTAACTGACCGGCCACTTCTTTAATACCACGATGCAGCATAGACAATGGTCGACTAACCAACGTTCTATACATTGTCTTCAATGTATCCATATACACACCATAATCTCCGGGGGCAGTCTTCTCCCGCACTGATATCCTGCCTCTGTTCACAGTATCATTAGATTTCTCTAAATCTTGATAAGCATCACCTTCGTTTTCAGGTGACAGTTTCGAATTCTTAACCAGTTGCTTAGCTATAAATTCTGCGTTTACACAACGCCATTTCTCCACCCATTGTATGAATGCCTGTTTTTCGCCAGGCGTTTGCTTCATCTCATTATTGTCAGAGTTACAATTAGTTTCATTTTTTGATGATGAACCTAAATTATCATTCACTAACCTTGAACACATTGAATTCGTATATTTATTCCCAGTGATACTGGTTGTTTTTTGTTTTACTTGTTCACCGAGTAATTTGTGCATTCCAGCTTCATTGCTACGTAGCTGTAAATACTGCAGTGATAAACACTGTTGACTGTTTGCTTTTAGACTTGACAAATAATTCTGCTCTTCAAGTGAACACAAATATAAGCAGGATTTTTTCCACATTTCAATGGATTTCAAAATATTCTTAGCATGTGGATATTTTAAATCTTCAATCAGTGTCATGAATAACTTCGATTCATTTGTATAATCCCAGAGGGTATGTCGTTCAAGTGTTTCAGACAGAGCTGTTAACCAGTCGGTCAGATTGTTTACTGACCTTTTCGATGTTTCATTAATGTAAGCTGAACCATTGTCAGCAATCTGTATATTGCCTAAGGTGGGATAGCATAGATTTTCTAATGCAATGATATCTTTGCGAATCTTTTCTTTTTCTTCGTTTTTCTGTACGACAAGATGACTTTCCAGTTGATCTAATAATTGATAACATAATGCACTTGATTCATTCACATACAATGCTCGATTCAAAGTGAATTTAGCTAAAATCTCTGCAAGATTTATAGAATTTGTTTTAATAATAGTATTCGCCTCTTTGACATCATTAGAAATCATACAGATTGTTTAATGCAGCATTGACTTAATTAAGTAAGGCTAGTGAATTAATGAATGCATCATAATCATATCGAGTAGTTATTTCGTTTTTATAATGAAAATCGATCGATACGTGTTAGTCGTTAATAATTAAACTATAAGTAGATTAGTTGAAACTGAGGCTAAAACGCTTACTTCTTACTTAATTTAGCCTTGAGTTATTATTACTTTCCTTCTATGTGTTCAGTTGACCATGGCCAATCTAATGGGAAATTGTATTGTATTTACAACTCTTTGTTTTGTCTAGACTTTGGATATAATTTATCGTTGAACTCTGGTTTTTGAGTATGATGGGAATCTTTCAAACGGGAGTAAGACAAACTGGCTGCCTACTATCTCCAGTGATTTTCCTGATTGCGGTAGACTGGATAATGCAACAGACAGACAGATGGTGGGCAGCGAGGAAACAGGCATACAATGGACCCACTCAAAAATCTTGGAGGATCTAGACTTCGCCGATGATATATATGTCTGATTTCCCACAGACTGGAAGATAGGCAAGTGAAAAGCAACAAGTTGGTAGAAGAAACCTCAAAGATGTGACTTCCTTCAGGTGAACATAGAGAAAACAGAGGTGATGAAGACTCCTGTCCAGCAGCACCAGCAACAACAACGGACAACAAGCAACAATCAGCCAGCATAAATGGGAGAAATTCGAAAGAAGCAACCTCCTTCATCTACCTACCTACCTGCCTACCTGGGAAGCATCGTTTCAACTACAGGCGGACGGAGCTGATGAGGTTTTCAAAGCAAGGATCGGGAAAGCAAGACAAGCTTTCATTACTCTCAAGTCTGTGTGGAGGTCAACATTGCTCAGCATCAGAAATAAGATCCGAATTTTCAACTCCAATGTGAAGTCAGTCACTGCTACTATACGGATCAGAGGCTTACAATGTGCGTCACGAAGGGAACTTGGAACAAACTACACACTTTCATCAACAGCTGTCTTCGCTTAATGCTACTCAAGGTCGGATGGCCGGTCGCGGAAGATCAGCAACAGGGAGGGATCTCTGGCAATGACCGAACCAACTCAGCAGGAACGAATTGTGCAAGAAATATGCAGGAATAAATGGAGGTGGATTGGCCATAATCTGAGGAAACAAACCATCAAGTGACATAACACTCGAGGGCATTGCTCGAGGGGAACTCGAAAGGGAAGCGGCAGTTGGTCGTTGGAGTAGGAGGTGATGCGAAGAGAAGATGACAGAATGTGGGCAGACCTGGAGCCAGGTGAAAACGTTAGCAGAGAACCGAACGCAATGGAGACGCATGGCTGAAGCCCTATGTTTCCCTAGGAACTAAAGGAAAAAAATAATAATATAATAATCATTTCTCACCTTCCACTGAAGAAAGAAGCCCAAAGAAGTTTGTGATCTTTATTTCTGTTTATGATACAGAAAGTGAGACACTTCAGTCGTTAAAGGAGCACAGAAGAGAAGGAATTATTATTATTATTTAATTTCACATAATAACGACTTAGGAGATTAAAGGTGGTAATAATTTTCAACTTGATGGTATGTAGGTTTGAAGGTGTAAATATCGATCACAAAGGGGCATTGGAACATAATTGCATAGGATTAGAAGATAGTTGTCTGATATGAAAAATAGTTTTTTCTTAACAAATGCAAATGTAGACGGGATGAGAATGGGAACAATTTTTAATAACATCTTTTTTATAATTGAAATGAAAAGAAAATATGAAGAGAATGGAAAAAAAGAGAAAGAAAGGACGAAAAGTGAGGAGTCGAACAGAACTAGATCCATGGTAAATACAGACGTTGGACTAGTTTATTTTAAACGTATAGCTCCAGTTTTTTAGATGCATGTGGCGAGGGCTTCTGCAGGACAAAGAAGTCAGAAATGCTCTGCTTTTGGTAGATTTTTGTTTATCTTGTAAATCATGGAAAATTCCCATTGTAACATATAGAAAATCAAAACAAATGATTCAGCGAAGAGACTCTTTTCAACGAATTTATCATCAAGCTGTACAATCGTATATATATGGTTTTTTAAGAAGTTATATCCGGTGAGGCAATTGAAACATAGGTGTGAATGCATAAAATAATAATAATAATATGAAATGCAATTAAAACTAAAATGTTTGTGATTATAATCATAATTAAATGTCAAGTGGCAAAGCAAATTAATGTCATACATAGAATAATTCATAGGATGCATAGAACTTGAAAAAGGTGTGCAGTTATAAGATTAGTAGACAAAGAAGAATTGATTTAGAATGACAAGTGGAACAAGTGAAATAATACCGGGGACAATTAAAAGTGAGAGTAGTAATAGTAACAATTGACTTAATAAGGAAGAGTATACAAATTGAATAGACAAAAATGAAAAATTGGTAGAGCTAAAATATGATTGGGGATTACCATACTTTAGCATAGAGGGATTAAGACCATGAAAGTTGGAGGGGTTGAATGAACTTTTTCTGTACACAGAGATCTGGCTTTTCTGTTTCGATAGCCAAAGCTTCAGCAATACAGATGAGTCGGGTACGTAGGGATTTGGGTAAATTACTCTTTGCCTTGTAGATGACTTTGAAGGTGGAAGCTATAGAGATAGGGTGATCATTATCGACCAAATGTTCAATGATCGCGCTTCTTATTGCTCCACTTCCACCTTTTCGTAACCAAGCAGGATAGTGTTATTGTACCCTCTTGGACAAAACTCGTGTCGAACGACCGATATACCTAGCTCCACACGAGCAGGTGAATTGATAAACACACATAGAGTTAGTCAACAGCGGGATCTTGTCCTTCAGGTTATTGAACAATAATGGTCGACTAGTAAAGGCTATTCTCAGGGATGCAGCAGGGAATGTTCTTTTCAGGGACTGTGATATCCTTCGTTTCATGATATCGGAAGCTAAATTCGTTGAAAAGAGTCTCTTCGCTGAATCATTTGTTTTGATTTTCTATATCTTGTAAATGACTCTGAATGATGAGTCAGCTGAGATGTGCTGTGACAGATGTTGACGAGGTGTTCAATTATTGTACCTCATCTTTGCAGCCATGCTGGATAATATTCTCTAACACGTTTTGATAAAACCCGCATAGAACTACCTGTGTGCCTAGTTCCGCACTAGCGGGAGATTACGACATATGACCTGCTTGATACCATGAATGGCAATCACATAAACAAGTATAAATGCATTCTGCTATGTACTATTAACTGACTGAGTTCCCTGAGCTGAATCAAACGGTTGATGACCTCTCATCCCCAAACGAATAAAACAGTCGTCTGGTGTTTAGACCTCCTCAGTCTGGCTAGCAAATGATATGAGTAATATCCAACCAGTAGAAAGCGAATAAGAAGAATACAGTTTGTCTTAGAGTGAGTTTATGACTAAGGAGTAGTGAGAATTAGCTTGATGAATAACTGCTTTCTGCTGGTGTGTTTGTTTGAAAAATGACCCCAATAATATCACCCTATATCTGCGTAAAATCATATACTACTGATTGATTGAGATGAGTAGTTGTGTGTCAACCACGTCAACCAGCAGTGCTTGCTCTCCTTCCCTCAACACTCCCTCTATTCCCAACTCTCGCCTTGTATCTCGTCAAGTAGAAGCAGAAATCAGTATAAAATAATCTATGCTCGTACAACCAAGTACAGGAACTCAACGATACCATACTTGACCCGTGATCTAAGTGACAGAGACAATGTTAAGCGTGAAACCTATGACTTGCTTTGTTTTTAATAACATAATTTCGGCTCTTTTATTTCTCTCTTATTTTGTATTCTATGGTGAACTCCTTCTTAAACATACTTAGCTACCTAAACTGTTAACATTGGCTTCCTTTTTTGTACTGTATTCCTTCTATTGTGTATCTACTGGTTCCGACTATATTAGCACTATGAGTATTACAAAATTGTCCTGTCATTAACCATCATGTAATTATTAGTTTTTGTGGTTGTTGTTGTTTTTTTGTTCAGCAATACTAACTGACAATCTTGGTTGTGAAAGCCATTATCACCACCTTAAAATTTTTTATTATGCAGGATTACTCACACTACCACTACAAATACTGCATTAGACCTGACAATAAAAAACAAAACAACAACCCTGAAATGTTATTTTATGATTGCTTAGTGTTGTTTCAACCAAATTAACTGACTATCTTGGCGATAAACATTCTTAAATATCATTTCATAACTTCTCGTATGACTATAGTTTTACTGTCACCATGCACAATCATATCATAGCTTCCACTACCCAATACTGAGATATTATTATATGCTGTTTATTTTCCTTTCTACTTCTTGGTATTTTTTTCTTTTTCTCATTTTTTCTATTATTTTGTTGTTGTTGTTTTTATATTTATATTTTGAAATACTCCTTTTAAATGTTTAATAAAATTAGATGCAAATATTGTAGATATGTGCTGAAAACTCCACACTGTACTACTAGTACCGTTTCTGGAATAAAGCAAATTATTATTATTGCTAATCATACTATCCAAGTGATCTGAAAAACACCATACGGTGTCCGGCTATCTCAGCTGAGTGACAGCGAGTACATTGGTGCTGAGCAAGGCTCCAACCTAACAAAACGGCTGTCCAGTGTTTAAATCTTTTCAGCCTAGCTAGCAAACACTAGTGGTTTACGTGAGTGGTGTATTACTACTCACCCCAAACAATAAGTAGTACACAGTTCTACGCATTCATCCCTACCTTTTTGATTACCACATTTTGTGATCTGTGGTGACAGCTTACAATGATGTGTGTATCTCCTAGAATCCAGTTTACTTCGGAAGCAGAATTAGACGTCGGTGAACTACCATTTCTAGACTGCCTAGTTAAGAGGAGGGAAAACGGACATTTTAGTATATCCATATTCAGGAAGAAAACCCACTCAAAAAAATATTTAGACTTCAGATCATCACACCGCATCAGCGCAAAGATTTCAGTTGTTTCAAGTCTTCTTAGACGAGCACACTCTCTGATGA